TCATATATATATATATATATATATATATATATATATATATATATATATATATATATATATATATATATATATATATATATATATATATATATAGTGTATGGTATATTGGACCATACGGAGTATGGTCCATTATACCAAAGCACGATGCAAAGCATAGGACTGTAGGAGAGTTCTCTTTTGCTTATAGGCTGTTGTTAGCAAGTTACTTTTATTCCCTTGTGTCTTTTTGGCAATAAAACTTGTGAAGTTTTTAGCTGTTTTACCGGAGTGGCTTTATTTTGCGGCAAAAATGAATGCTTTTCATGTGAGGAAGATCGAAAAGCGTACTTACGTTCGCAGGGTAAAAGTTGTCAAAAGCAATCATGGCCATTATGAAACTAATGACAACATGAAAATTCATCTGCAAATGGGGGACGACGACATGCCAAGCGCAATTACCGAAGCTACGCCACGTTTGAACGAATTCATTGCGGTGTTGAACAAGGGTCGAGAATTTGGGCCTTGTTTTAGCGAGTTGGCCGTGTCGGAATCGCGGAGTTTCGAAGAGCAAACTAGCACCGAAAGGCGAATGGGGACTGGTACAAGCCAACAGGTTCTTAGCATACTAATAATGTTCGTATACACGTCAAATTACTGACGCGGTTATGCAAGTCATTGAATTTAAATTGGCGGGGTCGGCCATCTTTGAAGTGTGATGGCAATTTGACGGAGCTGTCAGTGTGGCAGTAATTGGTCATTTTCGAAATATTATCAATAACACTGCCCTATATCGCAGTTGCTATTCCGGTATTTGATTGTCAATGACTGAAATTTTCTCATTTTAGTCTGAGCAAGGCGACACTGTGAGCGTTGACGCCGGAATAGAACAAATAACAACAGGTATGATGGCTTTATTACATTTCGTGTTTAAAATGAACAATTGTGCATGTACTGTACAAAACTTCATTTGTGTTGTGTTTTAATTTCACGTAGTTTATTGTCTAGCGATGCTGCCCTTTGTTCGAGGGGAATATTTCGTGGGCGACGCAAGCATGCCTATCAAAGCGATAAAACAAAAACGGCATGGCGTTTAACTTCAACAAACTTGTACGAATTTACTTTTTGTGTTAACACAGTGCGCATGAAGTCGAGCGTATACGAGACCAGTTAACCGTATACGAATTTCCGTGTAATTAAATGGAAGCGGACGAAGTCTTCATTCGGTTTCAAAACCGCTTTCGCGTGTGTTAAGCTGAGCCGATAAGGTCCATATATAGTAAGGATTACAAAAACACGTAACGGGTTTTGTTCAACACAAAGTCCCGTATATTTTGTACAAACTTTTTTAGTCTCGACAGTGAGTTTCTTGACGAGTTTGTACTTGCCCTGTGTATATGGCGAATACGTTTCCTTGACAACCACACGCGAGCAAGTGAACAAGGCTCTTATAGCCTATAGGCAAAACACTTGAAAGACAATTTTTGCTTGAGCTTTTTACGTTGTTTTTAATATTTGTAATCCCCTTTGATAAGTTTTCCGTGACAAGTTTTATTTGCTCGTGTGTATACGGAAAAAAAATTGACAATTTTTACTTGCCAAGAGCCTTGTTCCTAAGCTATAGTCTTGCCAGCTTTTGGACAAGGAAAATTTGTTCGTGTGTACGGCCGCCAAGCGAAACTTGGTAATTGTACATGAAATACTTAGTCTATGGTTTTGGCAAACAAAATACGGCCTTGACGCGAGGTAAATGTTTAACGAGTCTAACAACATGAGCAACAACTTGTCATGCCGAAAACTTGTTGACCGTTGACACGAGAAAGTAAAGTTGTCAAGGAAACTTGCCCGTCTGTATACGGGACTTTGTGCTAGAAGTATATAGAAGCCCAAAGCCCGTGCTGATGTCACAGGTTGAGATTAAGTCGTTGAGTACAGCTTAAGGAAACGGTAAACCGTTATAAAAATTGCGAATATAGATTATATACTGTCTTATATACTGACATGGACTTTGAGCATATGACTTTGAGCATTCTCATTTGCTTGTATGAAAAAAAGTCAAGGATATACTCGACATGCAGTCACTTTATTAGAAAAGTGACTGTTCTCAGTAAATGATACTTTTGTTGAGTTTGCTTGTGAGCAAAATATATCGGTATAACCACAGCAATATACTCAGTTAAATTATCTTATCCAAGCTTCAGAGCGCCCATAATTCCTATATAAGGCGTTAAGCCTGCCGCACACGAGAGCTATCTGCTGAGCAAAAAGTTACTCGTGCCTGTTAGCTCAGCCGATAGCTCACCGTGTGCGGGTACATTTTACTGAGTTTTTTTCCTCATGCAACCTTTTCTCACGTATCAAACATGTTTGATCGGTGAGCTATCAGCTGAGCTAACAGGCACGAGTAACTTTTTGCTCAGCAGATAGCTCTCGTGTGCGGCAGGCTTAAGGGCTGGGTAGTTTAGTGCTATTTCAGAAAAAAACTATATGCATATAGCTATTCTTACAGTTCGCTCTGACTGATTTTTGATACGGGTTATTTTGTTAAGCGAGTATAAACTTATATAATTTACATCCCGTTAGCTTATATTATGCATACTATATCGGACCTACAGGTGTAGACATACTACTCAATTTCATCATGAATATTACGATATTGCTTCGACACACAATATAATATAAAGTTGTCAGAGGTTCCCGCTTTTAATATATCGCATGCTTGCATTGCAAATAGATTCCCGGTTTTCCAGTTATGACTTAAAACATCAAAGTCATAATGTCAGACAGAATTGTAAACAATAGCGCGACTACAAAATGATTTTATTCATTGCCCCATGCAAGCTGCATATTAAACAAACTCTATATATAGCAGCTGTTTGAAAGGCCCTATATACGACTTTCATAATTCATATCTCCTAAAATGTTTCGGTTTTTAACTTTTTACCCCTCTATACTGAAAGTTTATTTTTCTAGTAGAACTTTAATCATCCAGAATGAATATTTTCACACTATATAGTTGTAAGTTTAGATGTATATAATAACATCAAAATTGTTTCGATCAAAAAATAGATCAGGCTTAAGAGATTGAATAAGGCTAAAATACCTTAAAACAACTTCGAATTATGTTTTTTTCTTAATCAGGAAACCTTTTAGTCATTATCCTAAAAGCACGCCATATATAACGTGTCCTAAATTGCTTTAATGTACTACTATATATGCGAATCACACCTATATGTAAGATGATCGAGCTTTTTTTGTGTTGGAAAGCTTTTTACTGCACATTATGCATAAATTTAATGGCTTCTTTTTTTTACCTAAAGCTTTTGACAATAATTTATACTTATATAGGCCTTCCCATTTGCGCGGCATTTTTGTTTATTTTTGCTTGTTCATATTGCAGTGGAATATAATGAAATCCAAGCCTGAAATAAAAGCTTATCGCGGCCATAGATAAAGTTTGTATTTTGTTTTGACTTCAAAATTCCGAATTCATTATTCCTTTGGCTTTGTTATTTTAGCGCACAATTAGCGACAGGCTACATTTGCACACAGCTGGTCTTATTTTGTATGTAGATATCCATTTTTTACGACATGTTGTGCGCAAAAGCTTGCTATATACGTGCATACAATTACAGAATCGCGCGGAGGCTAAATTTATATTTATTCGAAATTTCTTATAACTAAACTATAGAGCCATTTGCAACAATTCCTGACTTCATGTATTTAAGCTTCGCGTGCGCGGACTAATAATTTACCCTCATGTTGCATAATTTTCTTGCATATTGTGGCACTATACATGCAATTGCCTATTTGCCAACGAGGATTTTATCTGACGGGGCAATGTTTTATCGTACAGTACAATTTTCCGCCCTAAACAGCTGCGCCGATAGTTGAGACATCTATACAAGTGCCATGATACAATATCACTGCCACTGGGAAAAAATGTGAAATCCATATATGAAATTTACAATTGAACCAAATCCATGTATATCCATACTATTTCGATACTATATCCATAGAAGTGCTATTAAGAGCACTACCTATCATATTATAACAAGAACAAATGTTATGACTACCGTGTAGTTCATATTAAAGTTTTCTTAAAAGTATATAATATACAGTATATAGACAAAAGAATATATATATTATAGTAATTAAGGAGTTATCCCCAGGTTTAAGGCATCTGTCTCCAAGGCAGAAACATTTTGAAATAAAGATAGAAAATAGTTCAATTATAACTAAGTCATCGCATGACATCATAGTTAAAATTTAATTTCTCATGCAAAGAGAATACGTGGTACTATATATATATTTATATTTAAACTGTTAGCGATTACCTTGGTTGATTACCTTGGTGCGCGATTACCTTGGTTGAAATTTCGTGAGAAAAAAGAATGACAACCATTTTTCAAATCGAGTTGCCGTTTATATCAACCATTCTATCACTTCACTCATGTATATAGACCCATTGCACTGATGTCACAATTCCATAGAGTGTCCTCCAGATGCTCCCTAAAATATCTGTTCGGGTACAACAACCACATACAGCGCAAAAATTAACCATTTTAATACAAAATTATTATAAAGTTTTACAAAATTTGCTTTGTTTACAAAAGTTATATTATGCATAGATTGCTAATTTGTCCTCCAGATGCATCGTCACCGGTGCTGTGACGTCATGTGCAATGGGTCTATAGAGATCAGTGTTTGTGTGTGTGCACGTTTTTGCTGCTAGTTACAAGGTCGATATGATAACGTGACGTCATTTTGTGCGCAATTGACGTCACTCACGTAACTCGTATGGTCAAATCTCAAGTCCCTATAATTTTACAGTAATGTATTAAGTATATATATACTCTGTCTAAGTGTACAGTGTTAGTACTGCGAGAAATTGTCGATGGGATAATGTTCAAATTCTATCATAATTCGAAATCATCTTTTTCCAATCTGCTTCTAGTGGAAAACGCGGTGATTGAAAAAACAATCAAAATGAATGACAACAATAACGGGGATGCTGGTAAGTTTAGTTTAAAATGCTGATTTTATAACTTTTAGACCTAACTGGGGGAACCGTGCAATCCTAATTATAAGGGCTTCACTTATTGGTCAAGTGTTACTACAGGGAAAAAATCGAAGTATCTGGTAAAAAAAGTATACTTACACGGATAGCTCTAACAGTTCTGTCAAGTGATCAGCTCTTGTTACTCGTGTAATATCCAGTATTACTTTAGAAAAACACCATATAAACTAAGTTTATTTCTACTGGATAGCATCGTCTTAGTATTTATACAGCCGGAACTTGTGGTTAAAATTCGACAGCTGGACTCTGTAGCTCAGTTGGTTAGAGTGCTGCACCGGAATCGCAGTGTCACAGAATCTTCGATTCCTGCCCGAGAACGGCAGAAGGCCTTGAAAAAGTCCTGCATATTCAGCTTTACGAGGAAATTGTCCTTGTCAAATACGACCTATTTTTGTGTTTTGCATATTACGATTTGAACACGTTCGCGTCTAGATTGTTAGATAAAAAAAGGGTCTTGACATTAGTTCAATGTCAGCGCAATTACTGAGTCATTCAAATTATCAAGCACTAATCTCGCAGAGTATCTTTATGGTTGAATTAGCAAATTATGACAAGTTTGACATGCTTTCCAAATAGCGTATATATATTCGTCGAATTTTATTCCATGAAAACCTCATTTCGCGTATAAACATTACCATAGAAACCACTAAGTTATAACATTGAATTCATTGATGACGTTAATTTCATGGCCATTATGGGTCAGTGACGACTGGCTTGTTCTCGATCTGTATGTGTGTACGTGTTGCAATTGTATATGACATGTACAAAAGCTATTCATATTATATTAAACTGAACGTAGAAATATACAGTAGTTTTTTTTTCATTCTGTCTGGCCTTGCACGCATGGTTGGCTTTCGTTGTGCAATTATCCACGGCGAAATACAACAGAACCAGTTGCCCCGACAACTGGAGCGAGGGGGGGGGGGGGGCAGCCCTACTCAGCCATTAGGGAGAACAGTTCAGATGTGATTTTGCGCATCTACCTATAGATGGAAATTTGGTGTCGAAACTTTATGCATTTTCAACGTCAATCGCACCCCAGCGAACCGCACTATATATATACACGCGTAAAAATTGAGAAAATCAACAACAAGGTTGTGCGGCCCACCGCTATGAACAGTATTGTCAACATGTTGTTACAGCATTGTTCAACTGTAACAACTTGGAACAACATGGTTGACAACTTGTTCATAGTTGGCCGCACAACATTGTTCACGCCTGTCGATATCAACTTGGAACAACCTGTGCGTTTTTAGCCGTGATTCCACGCGTGGCGTATTCTTTGTTTGTCAAGTGCTAAATGTAAATATTGTGTGGAACTATAATCACCGTCATTGTCAATGACGCAAACGAAATTTGTGCTGTATTGTACAGGATACGATTGAGATGGAAAACAGTCATTATGCTTCCTGAACGGAAATGCATTTCAAGAGACTTTCAGCAATGCAATTTACCTAAAAAATGCAAGTATTTTGTATTCTGCATAAAATTATTTGACTTTAATCTAAACTCATAAACACAAAAAAAACAAGTATTACTTATTTCTCGTGTTTGCTCGCTTCGTCGATTATTTGCATTACATAACTTGTGATATTGTTTTGTATACATTTGATGATATAACACTTAGTGTTTGTGTTCACATCAGGAAAGCAAAAAGCCTAGTTTGTTATCAGATGTTTTTAATCAGTGACTCCATATATATATTCGCAAGGCAAAATGTGAAAATTACCCTAGCGAGCTAATGTGTTTTGAAGAACATTATGAATAATTTACATCTTGCAGACACGGCTTTGCGATGAAGGAAAATTCTCGTTTAATATTTATCTTCTTTGGGTTTTTAATATCGCCTGCTCAGCAAGCGAAACCACAGCAATTTCAATATCAAAAAACGTGAAATGAATTAGCAACCTTTGGTTTGAAATAAATTCGTTTAATCTAAGGTTTTTAACCACTTAGCGCGAGACCTAATCGAGGACGGAGCTTCGTTTCATGAAGCGTCGTAGAGCTAAATTTTTGGGGGATATTTTTTGGTCATGCAGGCGGGCGAATACAGTTTCCTAAAGAATGGACATAAATGGACTTTGGGCAAACAAATTGAGGCGACAACACTAGAGAACAATTATAAATTGACGCCGTTATTAAATCGAAGGAGCTATAACGCACACAAGGCATCGGATAATTTTATTAACTTGCTGGATGAAGAATCGTGCTCCAGCGAAAGGCCCAGTTTGGAACAGAATATTAAATTATCGAATGCGGTTTTACACAGCGGAGTGGAATTTCTGCATACTAATGAGAAAGGTTGCTTCTGCCTTCCGTCAAAAGAGCTCTTTCAACGAAGTGCAATTTGCTTCAAAGCATCATTGCCTGACGCCATGTCGGTCGATGTTGCGAGTCAAAGCGAGTTCGCTTCGCAGACTTTGAAGCCACAGAACTTGGAATTGATTGCTCTCGATGATCAGTCGTGGGATTACTCGAATGGAAAGGAGAATTATAAGCTTAAAGAAACTTCCCCTGGCTGTCTGCCTAGCAAGAAGGGCAAGTCGAAAAAATTACAACGAAAGAGTAGCTTTAAAACTGAACAGGAATTTAATGATAATGAATCTCTAAACGACAACAAGCGAACCGATGGAGACGTCAAAATTTCAGACAGTTCGAACAAAGTGCGAAGGAAGTCGTCTTTCATTAGCTCTGTCATAAAATTCGCCAAGTTTGGTCGAAAGAAGAAGCGCACGTCAGAAGGGACACAAGAGACGAGCGATGATTCAAATGGGGGGACAGAATCTTCGGAAGAGAAGCGAGAAAATAGCTCGTGTCAGGACGAAGAGTTTATATTCGGCGGTGTTCGTGTATTTTTTGACGAAAATGGTGAATTTTGTGAAGTGGATCAACATGATTATTATGATGACCAAAGTGTCTCGACGTTTTCCTCCGACAACGAGTCGGAGTGTGACGATTCGACACGATGCTCTACGACAAAATTTGAAAGTTCGGACAGCTTAAATCTGGGTTACTCTGGATCATTCGTTACATAGAGATTATCTAGTGTTTCATGAACACTATAGTATAGGAACACAGTACAGCAAAGTACTAGAGAGGCATTTTATAGAGGTTTTTGAAAGAAAATATTACGGAAGTGTCCGCACTGAGAGGTGTTTTCCCATGCAGAGAGAGGTCAATACGACTGTATTTATCTTCAAAATGAACTAGATTTGGAAAGTTCTATGTATATATTCTGTATCAAATATATATATGAATGTGTGGCTATAAAATCAGTTATCCAAAGCAATTTTAATCGTGGGTGTATTCAAATATATTGTGGTTTGTGTCTGTACTGCCTGAAAGAGATTGAGAACACTTGATGTTTCGAAACCGAAAGCGCTTTTCAGGACGTAGCTATACTGACAACCCAGCGGCCCAATATTTTACATCTTTTCAAGTAGTTCAGAAACAAACCACAGCAACGTTTTAACGAATACTACTACATACACTAGACACCTACGATTGAGAAATCATTCTTATAGGTAATTCAATCAGGCATGAACAAACCATGGCAACTATATAGGACACGTACATTCGAGATCTTTTTTTCAGGTGCACAATTAAGCCATGGCAACTTATTAAAAGAACTATCCATACTTGACACCCACGTTTGAGGCTTTGAGCTGAATAATTATACGACTCGACAAATTTGTTTTTTGAAATATATACTAATATGAATAATTTCCTCGATCTCTTGTGAAAAACAAATTTGCACTTCAGAAGGTGTTTCTGAGATTGCTTTGTCTGAGAGAAAAATAATCTGTTGGATAATAAATATTAAGACGCTCGAACCACCTATAGCTTGTCTCGCGTTTTCAGTGTTTTGCGTCAGAGAGGTTATAATCCGCTTAGCATGTTAGCTGTGTTTGTGGAAAGCTCTCACGGGGAGCGACAAATCTTATTACTAAATCAATTTCAGAAATTCCTTTATAAGGACAAAAGCTTGTGTATTCAACTGATTAGGAGATATTTATCGCACGTGTCGATTATGAAATTTTAAATATTTTGCGCAATTTGATTGAGGCAGCTTTTCAACCATCTAACAAACGCCAGTTGTGCTTCGGCCTTTGTCTTCTGCCCACATACTGCCAAGACGCAGGGCAAAAATTATTTCAGCGCACAACCCACATAGGATCTTGCTTGCACATGGCTACTGCATGTGCCCAGGATTTCTTGCTATACTACTTTTCTTCCACTTTTCTACTTTTTCTCATAAAATTCTACTTTTTAAGACGGCTCGGAGAATCATTATGTTATTGTCTTTACTCTTTGTTAACCGATGAGACTCATAATTATATTCCCCAATCATGTCCCAGATAATATGTTCTCAAGGAATACATATTTGCATCAGCAAGGTTATGCAGTGACGTTTTAGTACAATGTTGAACAACCTATAATGACTACAAGTATCCTACTATACTGGAGTATTGGTTAATTAATTAAGGCAAATTTTGTAAACATAATTTATTGAAGTTACATTGTATATGTGTGTTATTTGAATCTCCAAAAATTCCTACTTTTGTGCTACTTTTTTTGTATATTTATCCCACATTTTCACATAAGGCGGATACCAGAAAGCCTTCCACCTCTAGGGCTAGCCAATTCCTGCAATATGCAGATGTCTGATTATAATTCCAACACAGTTGCATGTCAGAGGCGAGTTTTAAGACAGTTAAGACAAGGTATAGCTTTTATTTAATGAGGTAAAACCCACTGAGCTATATATAATATAGCTATAATATAGCTCAGTGGGCTATAATATAGCTCAGTGGTAGAACCGGCTGGTGGTATTTTCACTGGGTCTCTTGTAGTTCCCTGCAGTACACACGCTTAAAACGCACAAGTTGTTACAGGTCTGCAAACAAAGTTGTTACAAATATGTTCACAAGCTGTCGACAAGTTGTGTTCGCACTGCTTGTTCCCAGTTGTTGTAACAAGTTTGGAACAGACTGTTATTAACAACTTGTAACAAGCTTGATGGCATTATCAGTCTTGTTACAAGGTTGTTCTAACAAGTCTGATACAGTCATGATATAACAAGAATGTTACAAGGTTGACGACACAAGGTTGTAACAATATTGCTATATCATGACTGTATCGGACTTGTTGGAACAACCTTGCAACAAGTCTGATAATATCAACAAGTTTGTTACCAGCTTGTTCCAAAACTTGTTGACAACTTGGGACAAGCACTGCGAACACAACTTGTTGACGGCTTGTTGGCAAACTTGCTACAAGATGTTGAGATTTTTGTGTGTGTAACACTGGACCAATATGGCATCAAAGAATGACCTGACTGGAACTCTATGCAGACGAGTTTCGTAACTGATAGAGCTATCAAGTATAAATAAAGCTAGTTTATACAATCCATAACTGTTCCATATTCTGCCATATAACATTGTGTGTTTTCTCAACTGGAGTTACTTAGCGAACAATTTGTACCTATAGAATGACGTAACATGCTCATGTTTACTTTATTTAAATTGCCCGTTTCTCATTGGTTCTCGCCGATGTTATTCAAATAAAATATCAATTCTCAATCTTTAAATAGTTATTGCGTTATTCCGTGGTCTCTAACCACGGATTAAAGCAATTTATATGAACTTAATTCGAGAAATGAGATTGTATTTGTTATGCAGTAGCAAATCAAGCCGCGGTTTTTTACGCCGTTAATTATTAACTAAGGCTAAAATTTCTGACGCGAATATTCATAAGTAATTTATAATGCACCACTGATCGCACAAGTTAAACCGGAGTCGTATAACCTGATTATGGGGTAAACTCTGAAACGTCGTTTTTAATTAATAAAAATGTTAAGCCTTGTTTTTGGTCATTAATAACACAAGAAAAGTCTATTAATAAAATGAAAGAGAAAGTTCGATATTAAATATTTTGAATTATACTTCTATTTCAGGAGTAAGTCATTCCAACAATCTAATATTTCACAGTGTCTCGGGTGAAGTGGGTGATGTGAAGAATTTACCAGAGCACAAAGGTGAGACCACCGAACAATTTAACCAAGATATAGTGGTAGAAATTAGGGTGGGGTGGGGGCGACCGCACCCCCAATACATGATTTCAGAAAGCCTTGGAATGATAGCTCGATAACTGTGTAACAAAACTGTAACAATAATTTTTCAACCATAAAAGTATTGTTGCAGGCTAAATATTGCATGAACTTTTAGGCAAAAAAGTTTCAAGAGCTTAGCTTTTCAGCTACAAAAGTCGGTCATATGTTGGCAACATAATTCTCCCACTTTTTTCATTCTTTTTTTATTTAAAATTTATTATTTGTATGATGTTTACCCCAAAAGCAAACTGCTTATCTGGGGGGCTTACATCAATACATATATACCATTTGAACACACAAATACACACACTCACACAAAATAAAATGTTAATATACAAAATATTAAACATCAAAGGCGGATGCTGATCTTAAAATTTCTTTTTAGTCTCTACTAAGAATGCTGAGAAATTACATTTCTTTATCTTCCTGTTTTAGATCTGTCTCAAGTTTATTTCAAAGGTCGATTTGATAGGTAAGTGTTGACTCACAACTAATAAACCAGTTGAAGAAGATGATTTACCATCATCCAACAGTGTTGGCTCAGTTAGAAGATTAATTAGGTTCGGCGATGTTGAATGGTGTTGTAGATGATAATGTTTGATTTTATTTAACATTTCCATCTAACACCTTTCATATTGGAGAATATATCGAAGCCACGATCTTAGAGGTGAAATGCACATGCTCTGATGACAGGCGCCAGTAAAGCCAACCGTACAATAATGTTGTTATTTTATTTTGTTTTTAGTCACAAAGGAGGAAAGAAAGGTCGCAGTTTTTCGCAAAGTAACTCTCTTTTCCGGACTGCGTTTTTCCCGTACTCGACAAGGCAGCACCTGGGCGTTCCTTTTCAGGTAAATATTGGGTGTAATAAAACTAGCTGATCACCTTTGTTGTTGTTGGTTAATTTTGCTGTCGTTGTCGTTGTAATTGTTGCTGTTGTTGTAGTCGTTGTTGTTGTTGTTGTTGTTGTTGTTTGCTTGTTGTTGTTGTTGTTGTTGTTGTTGTTGTTGTTGTTGTTGTTGTTGTTGTTGTTGTTGTTGTTGTTGTTGTTGTTGTTGTTGTTATTGTTATTGTTATTGTTGTTATTGTTGTTATTGTTGTTATTGTTATTGTTATTGTTCTTGTTCTTGTTCTTGTTCTTGTTGTTGTTGTTATTGTTATTGTTCTTGTTCTTGTTCTTGTTCTTGTTCTTGTTGTTGTTGTTGTTGTTGTTGTTGTTGTTGTTGTTGTTGTTGTTGTTGTTGTTGTTGTTGTTGTTGTTGTTGTTGTTGTTGTTGTAGTCGTTGTTAATGTTATTGTTGTTGTCGTTGTCGTTGTCGTTGTCGTTGTCGTTGTCGTTGTCGTTCTCGCTGTTGCTGTTGTTGTTGTTGTTGTTGTTGTTGTTGTTGTTGTTGTTGTTGTTGTTGTTGTTGTTACTGAAACAGATATAATTCCCTTGCAGCATAAAGGCACGATCAATTCTAACATGTATCTAATATTGGAAGTAAAAGGCAAAGGAAAAACACATGAAGCTGTTGATTATGTTGCTGTCACTCTTGGAGAATTGTTTGCAGGTAGAGATTATAGAATATTTCTTCTCATTTCTAAACTATGCTTTGTAATCCTTTTCATCTCCTTTGTTTAACCTCGTTGTATTTCCAAAGTATAGTGCTTAAATGCTTTGGAATTCAAGCGACAAGTCTATCGTGTGTTATTATAATATTCTCTGTCTGTTTTCATCAATAGGAAACAAGTACTCCAGCCGCTGGTTACAAATGGATAATGGTAAGATATCTCGGCTATATTATGCTGACTATTTCTAAACTTATCAGTTATGAACTGTTCTCCCCATAACTGTAGAGTTCGCAAGTTAATTTCAATGTTTGAACTTCGTTTGTAAACAAATGTTCATACTCAATAGTAAAAACCAAAAACCTTCTTGGTAGACCACTAGACCAATAACTTGCCATTGAATTGTTAATTTCAACTTGAACTATGAACATTTGTTTACAATAGTTCAAACATCGAAATGTACTTGCGAAACATCGAAATGAACTTTGTTGCGAAGTTCACGCCCAATTTTTGAACTTGGAAACGTAATTGGCAAGTTTGCAACGAACTTGGGAATCGCGCGTTGATAAGTGAATTTCTTCATGAACTATTAATGAACTTAAGCACCCGTCTAACATTTCAGTCCCCTCGGAAACCTCTAATAGTGAGACGAAATTTTAATCAGAGTGGCCCCCAGTCTGAACGGTTGTGATTTACCCATATCATACACGCGTAAAAATCTCACATTTTGTAGCAAGTCTGCCAACAAGCCGTCAACAAGTTGTGTTCGCACTGCTTGTCCCAAGTTGTCAGCAAGTTTAGAACAAGTTGTTAAGAACTTATAACAAGCTTGTTGATACTATCAGACTTGTTGCAAGGTTGTTCCAACAAGTCCGATTACAAGTCCGATACTGTCATGATATTACAATACTGTTACGACCTTGTGTCGTCAACCTTGTAACATTCTTGTTATATCATGACTGTAACAGACTTGTTGGAACAACCTTGCAACGAGTCTGATAATGCCATCAAGCTTGTTACAAGTTGTAATTTACAGCTTGTTCCAACAACTGGGAACAAGCAGTCCGAACACAACTTGTCGACAGCTTGTGAACAGCTTTGTAGCAACCTGTTTGCAGACCTGTAACAACTTGTGCGTTTTTACGTGTGTAGTACTGAGGATTTAACCAATCGCCATATCTTCCAGGTGGAAGCATTCACGTGACGATGACGTGCAAGGAAATTGAAATAATTCCTGGAAGCCCTGGTAGAACAGGTCGCTCGAGACTCAGCTTCAGGAAGAGGAATGCTAGTGAATCATAAATGAATAACTAACTATGTACTAACCAATGAATCTGTAAAGATAAATTTCAAAATGCCTGTAAGGCGGATAAACTAGTGTAAAAACAATTGTAAATAATTTGAATTAACGCAAGTGGCGAAGCGAGCAGAGAGGAATAGGAAAGGAGGACAGCTTTGACGACTTCTATCAAATAAGATTTTGAATACTTGTAACTTAGGTCAAATCTTATTTTCAGCATACTTTAAAGGCACAGTTCAGCCATTTGAATGATGGTTTTTAAGGCGCATTTCAGCCCTTTTATTAAATGAAAAAACTGACTAGGAAAATCAATTAAGCATAATTTAAGATCAGCAAACTTAATGTTTTTAACATTTTAAAACATTTTTATTGTTAAAAACATTGAGTTTACTGATCACGAATTATGCATAATTGATTTTCCTAGTTAGTTTTTTCAATTTATAAAAGGGCTGAAATGCGCCTTAAAAACCAACAATCATAAGGCTGAACTGTGCCTTTAAATTTCATTTAACCAGTGGGGCTTACCGATGCCAGTGAAAATTTTGGAGAAGGTTCCGTTTAGACTTCCACTACCTCTCACTGACTTAATATTAATTTGATTGGTTATTCGGGTAAATTAATCTCATCTGATTGGCTAATTGTGTCGGTAGTGGAATTCAAATTCTACTGAATCTGTCTATTGACCCATTAAGGAGCAACTAGGTTTCTCTGTGCTATTCTATTCTGTCCTGTGCCAGAATGGTTAAAGGTAGTCACATTATGCGCATTAATGTAAAGTTAACCAGAGCACTTGCCCACGTCTCTTGCTAACTCGTAAAGGCGCAATGTTCCTTAATGCACCCCTATATACTTATTCTACATTCTTCCCAATGCCTGCGCCCCAGATTAGCTCTAACAAATAAGTTGCAAAAGATTAATGAAATGAAACCTTCACTAACTAATCAACCTCGTTTCCAAGCTATTTCCCTCGAACGAGCTTGCTTTAATACTGAACTAATTGAATTGCTTTCTAATAATGTACATAAATATTTATTAAATTAGATAAACACTTTATTAATATTTACGCTAGAAAGACCACAATGCATTTCAATTTGAAGATGGCATCGTTATTGTTGAAACGGTCCATTCTGCTCTTTTTGAGTCCGAATAGTTATCTAACATGAAGTATTGAAATGGTACTGGGTATGGGTACCACTGGAGGCTGTATAATAACTGGAGGACCTGCTCCTATACTTCGTTCAGTCAACGAAGTGAAGCCAAAAACATGGCGGATTTTGAGTGAAAATGACGCCATTTCCATGACAACACTTCCGAAATCCTCATGGTAGTTACCACTGACCAGGCTCAATTCTGAGCCCACGGCCGTTTTCACCCCCCCCTGGTTTTTGCAAAAAATTTGCAGATAATATAGTTCTTGTTGTTTTGAATCGGTTTTTAAAAAATTTTTTCGATATAAATTTTCTACCTTTGACCATTTGGACAAAGATATGCAAGTCGTACGTGTTATTCTCGCCCATGAAAGACGACAAGCAAATTTTAAAACCTCAAGAAATGTGGGAAAAAGACGAGACTTGAATATGGATTTTAATATACAAATAACAAAGCCAGGTAAGAGGCGTATTTTCATATTCAATTTTATTTACACTTTATCTTATTTGACATGAAATAATAAGTATAACGATGAAAATGACACTCTATTTGTTAAGGAAACAGCTTCCTACAGTGCAATACACATGGGAAAGTGTAAAATTTTCCACTACTTTAGCAAACTGTGATTATTCACAATCGCAAATATTTGGTTACAACCTACGATGCTTATTAATCTTATTAAAATTATATTCAGTCACATATACGAGTATTAATACGACGGTCTTTAAAGTGCGAACTGTCTTGTGTAATAATGTTAAAAACTCCGAGGTCTCGTTTTATAAATAGACATAAACTATGATCATGTACCACAGACTATCTTTTTGAAAGAGGGATTTAGGTCAGTTTTGTGTTATGTACCAACTTATGTACAGTATAAGCTGGAGGTGCTAGCTTTCTGGTTGGGATACTTCTTGATATTTGTGTCATTATAGAGGCTTGAGATAAATCACACTTTTCCCTAAGCTGAGGTTTAGCTAAGCTGAGGTGTGCCAATTTTTTTTAATTTTGCCCAAATTACATACTAGTTACATACCACTGTGAATAAGTTGATCTCCCTTGGAATTTCCAGTTTGGGCCGTTCCGGTATCATTATTTTATCCCCTTCCCCGGAATTTCCATGTAAATCTTATTATTTTGACCCCCACCCACTGGAATTCCAGGGTTATTTCGACTCCCACCCACTGGAATTCCAGGGTTATTTTGACCCCCAACCACTGGAATTCCAGGTTGTTTTGACCCCCACCCACTGGAATTTCAGGGTTACATATAAAAGGCATCCCCTGGATTTCCAAGGTCCTCAACAGGGGTTGTACGGATAAAAAACCCAATATGCCAATATCACTCTGAATAAACAATGTACCTACATTAGCGCACTCATAGTTCTGATTTAAGCTGAGGAGTTAGGCCACATTCGTTTATTTACCTTGGTCATATGCTAAGTTATGTTACCTGGATAATTGTACAATCTCATTAAAAATTAATCTATTCTTGTTTATTGCAGATTTAATCCATAATGACACACTCTCCTTTCTCGGTGGCAAAACACAGTATCAAGCCACATCTTTGGAAACTGAGCCAGAGACGGATTTTCATATTTTCGTTTGGGGGTGGATTAATCTGGGGGGGGGAGGTTGCTGCTGCTTGCTTTGGCTGGGGCCTGGTGGCAATGCCCAGAAAGGCCAAGGAAAAAGTTTAACAAAATTTGTTTTCTAGGCCTGGGGCCGGTTGTTCAAAGGTGGGTTAGCACTAACTCTGGGTTAAAATTTAATCTGTTGTTTTAGTTCATGTATTTGTGCAAGTCTGTTTATTTCAAAACTTACTTCAGAAAAGAGAACTCCTATTGATCCTGACAAGATTTCTGAAGAACTATTTCCAAATTTATAAACAAGCTATCAGGAAGTTTGCTTTGAATTTTAGGTTAACCCAGGGTTAAACTAACCCAGCATATTGAACAACTGGC